TGATGCCTGTCTTGCCTCTAATTACTTGTGTTTATTTAAACCAATGCCTGTATTTTATACATCATTATTTTACAGTTTAGATTAAGCTGGTCCTTATTTGTTAAAAGAGTTTAGCAACAACAAAAAACATAGCTCATCTATTTTTGCAGTGAGACATCCATCTGGTTTGATTGTGGAGACGGAAACCTTATAGGGAGTTTGAATTTGCCTTGCATTGATTGTGCATAAAATTGAGTGGGCTAGATACTAGGAGGACAACAAAGGGGATTAAGATAGTGTTCTGCCTTTAGGAATACAATGATCAATCATTACCTAAAAGACTGTCAGTACCCCATCAAACCAGCAAAGAGAACCCAACTGGTTGCCAGATACGTGATTTTTATTTGCCTCATGTCTGTACTGGAGTCCAAAGTGGAAACAGGGCATACGTGTCCCTGTTTGCAGGGTGATTCACCCAGGGCTATTACCACTATTAATAGCAATAGGCTAGTTTGCGTGGTGGACCATTCTGTATGCAAAGTGATGTTGCGCCTGCTTTAAAAATAGTTCAGAGTGATAAGTTATTGGCAGAGCCACCCTTGGGAAATCAGAAAGGCATAGCTCTTTACCAAATTGGTGGCCAATATCCAGGCTGGGTTTGAAGACTGTGCTTGGAGGGAGCCTTGTATCTCGTGCTTGGCCAGAACAGCTCAGAAATACTGAATTATAATTGACTGCTTTTAAATGCAAGACTTGGCTATACGTTTAGGTTAGTTTATACAAAACTGGCAGAGGTTGGTTTCTAGCTTTTTTTAGTTTCAAGGTTTGATCATTTCCCACTGGTTAGTGTGGAGAGAACTAAAGCCTTCTGTTCTGACCAAACAACCACAACTCAAATAGGCCAAGAGACTAGGAAAATACCAGGACAAGTGAAATGAGGAGTGTCATTCAGCACAGCCAAGCTGAGGCATAAAGCTTCAAACCAATGCTAGGGCATGCCCGAGAGATTTCTTAAGAGGACTGATGGCACTTCTTGTTTGAAGCTGTAAAGTAGGGGTTGGTTATATTAAGGCAGAAAAAAAAAAATTCCAATACTGTGTAGCTCTGTCTGTCATGCTCTTCTGTTATTTTTGCCTCTGTGCAGCCATTTTGGTAACAGTGTCTTAATTTTTCCCTGGGGACCCATTCCTTTCTTATGGTCCAGTGATGGTCACATGGCCCACATCTGACCAATCAGAGGGCTATCTCTGCAGCTAAAATAATTAATTTGGGATATGTGCTTGATTGGCCAATCAGGAAGCATTAATCCCAGGGCTTTTGCTAGAGATTTTAGGAAAGAGATGCTCTGTTTCTTCTAGATTGCACCTACTGGTTAAATGCAAACCTAGCACTCCTAGAGACCATCCTTGTCCATGGCAGGATCTCCTCTGAGAATGAAGCCAATCCAGAGAAAAATAGAGCTAAGACATGCCAAGGGATATATTCCTGTAATACCAGTTAAGTCATATTAAAAGAGGATTTCAGTCCAGTTTTGCCTAAAACTGCAGGTCCAGTTAATTGTTTTTTTTCTTTGTATGAGTTAGTTTCAGTTAGGTTTCTGTTATTTGCAATGAACAGTGATTTGAATGATACGTGATCTTTTAGAAAGCCTATGTATCAGTCAGCTATTGCCATGATAATGCTGCATGACAAAATACTAAAATATTCACAGGCATCCAACAACAGTCACTTCTTTCTTATGTGTTTGTGAGGTAGCTGAGATTAGGTTCATCCAAGCTGGGTTCAGCAAGGCTTGGCTTCAAGCTCTAGGTCAGGGTCAAACTATTCCATGCATCTCTTCTCCTGTTTGGATAAGTGGCTATTTGAAGCGTGTTATTCTTCTCATGGTGACTGGCAGGAATGCCAGGCAGCAATATCCATTGTACAAGCACAATTCAAGTCTTTTCTTGTGTCATTTTTACTAGTATGTTTTGCTTTGGACAAAATAGCAGTAAGTAGCTTGGTTAAATCCAAAATCAAGGGGGTGGGGAAAGGCACTCCTTCCATGGAGATGGGGAGGAGAGAGTGAATTTTTCATGGGAAATAATCTAATCTACCACAGCCTAAACTTATACCAAAGACAATAAGGACAGCATATTATAAAATCATGTAATTCTAAATTTAAAGGGCAAAAACGTTAATGTAACAAATGAAAATTGATGTGTTTAGCACTGAGATCTATACATTCCTGAAAGATTCAAACTTCTGATTTGTTTCTAATATTAATGATGTTGAAATTAGTTTTGAAACAAGTAGAACACTGGATAGGTGCCTCCTTCTGACTTAGGGATTACTTCAGTGATGGAGCTATCAACAGATGTAGGCATTCAATAACAATTCGTGAAACTTGATTTTGAAATTCTTACATCAGGCAGTATGCAAATATCATGAACTCCACAGGGAGTATAAAATTAAAGGAGAATATCTGAATGCATAATAATGACTGTCATTTTGTTGGATGCCTAGTATGTTTCAGGTACTGTGCAAAAGGAGCCCCAGTGATATTAAGTAATGTGGCTAAATTCCCAAAGCAGCAACATTAGGTTTCAAATTCCACTGGAATTCATATATCTGGATGCAAGGTTTTATAGTTAAAATCTTTGGGTGGAAAACAGATATTTTTCCCTCTCTGGTAAAGGCTAGAGAAAGAACACCAACCTGAGTGTGTCTGTGTCAAACCTTGAGTTCTTATTTCACTACATTGCAGGAAGTTCAGGTTAGACAACGAGGGTAAGTTGGCAGCTAATTAATGGTAGTCAATGTTTTCTCAATTCTAGACTACTGCTTTGATGCAGAAAGCCACGTTCCATTCCTGCTTTAAAGCTGGAACTTGGACTACGTGAAGAGAAATTTAGTTTGGAGAGGACAACTGAGAGATCAGCTTGGTACAATGAGGTACAGTATAGGATCTTGTGAGACTCACAGGGGAGCAGTTTTCTGTCATGGACAATGGAGAAAACAATTGGCCCGACGTTCATCATGAGCAGTTAATGTAATATGCATGAAAAGGTCTTGATATAGCATGTGGCTGAGAGAGCACAGTTGTTGTCATACAGTTCAATTTAAAAACTAAACCAGACTAGCTCTCTGTCCTGGTGATTCTATTACAGCCTGCCTAAAACAGAGGCTGAATTTGGTAAGCTCTTGAAACCATTTGTGTCCCTTCACTTCTGGGGTTGTTTATATCAGGGAAATTTTTTAACCACTTGTAAAAATATACCTTAAAGAGTGACACTGTCCCTGGTTCGGTGGGAATTCCAACCGTTAGCACCCAGGTTGCCTCAAATGATAGCGACTCAGCAGTAAAAATTCCTGAGAAAGCAGCAACAGTAGGTTTCAAATTCCACTTAAATTTGTTTATCTGGATGCAAGGTTTTACAGTCAAAATATTTGGGTGGAAAACAGATTTTTTTTTCCCTTTGAATGAAGGTAGCATCAGATTGAGAGACAAGTGTAAAGTAGCTGGAGGCAGAAATGTCTTCCACCCCCACTCAACAAAACAAAACCAGTGAAAAATGTCTTCTTAGAATTTGTCATGTCTCTGTTTTACTACATAACAGTTTATGAGTGATGATGTGGGTGAGGGCCATGATGGCATCTATAATACAGTTAATATAAGAATATGATTCTGTTTATAAGGCACTTTTCAAACAAGGTAAGCACAACTTGAAAATAATTGCATGGGAGGGATGATTCCAGACACGTGGAGGCATGATTCTTGATTCTAATTTGAGCCCAGAGACAATTAGATTTAAAGAATATGCCCACTTTTCCTGGGCTGTGAAGGGGAAGGAAAACCTGAGATAGTTTTGTAAATCTCCTTCTCCTCCTCTATTTTTAGGATGGGAGGGTTGCTTCACCACTAGGTGAAGATACTGAGCAAACACACAGAGTTGGGAAGAATAAAAAGCCCATAAAACTGAGTCAGGCACCTGCCTCTGGCAAAATCTGAGTGATTAGGTGGGAGCCTGCAGTGGCAGCAAGCAGGTGATCTGTCAGAACATGAAAGGAAAGGAATTTTGAAGTTATGGCCTTGCCCAGAGAACAGTCAGCCTCTCACTTCTGAAGGTTTAATTCTGAGGACCCCAAAAGAGAGCATACTGTTACTCTGCTCAGAAGGAGAAAAAGGTGTTCAGAACTTCAACTCTTTTGAGTTTCATAGGCAGAGTGACAAGACCCAGCTATGTTATTATTTCTGGGATTCTTGCAACTCATTCAATCCTTCTTCCAGTTGTTTTCATTTGGAAAAATATAAGTGATGGGTCAAATAAGTGTTTTTAAAATTGTGAGCCTGGGAGTTCTTGTTTTTAGAAACTTCAGAAGATCTCATTGACCCCAAGACCAATCACAGTTTTGGCAGATGAGTAGGGCAAGTGGGAAGGACTCTGCTCTCTCTACTCCCAATTCACTTAGAATATTTCTCTATTTTGGGGTTTGGGTGTATGACTGTGAACAACTTCTGTACTCAGCCTTATGGAATTCAGTGTCCTTGACCTTGAGGTTCCCCTCTAGCTCCACTATCCTGGGTGATCCTGACCTCCAGCATTAGAGTTTATTCATTCTTTGGAGAAATGTATTAATAGTACAGTGTTATAAATGTCATCTTAGGCTCTAGGGATATAAAGAACAAAATGATATCCCTGCCCTCGAGGATTTTATGGTTGAATAAAGAAAAAAAGGCAAACCTATCATTATGCTATAACAAGGTGATTGATTAAATAGAGTTTGATGCCAAGAAGAGAGGGAAGGTAGAGGGTGGATTGCTGGGTCTAGCTGAGAGAGGGAGAAGCAGCTTCAGAGAGAAGGAAGTCTCTGAACTGGGACTTGACAGTTTAAGTGGGAATGTACAGGCATGTGTGTATATTTAGAAATATAATTCAGATTCTGTCAGTCCTCTGCTTGAAAGACTCCAAAGGCCTTCCCATTTAATTCAGCATGAAACCAAATCCTTAGTGTAGTTACAAGGCTGGTATAATGTTGCCCTCTGCCTTCTTCAGACATGTACTTTCCCCTTCTGTTCTCCTCCATGCTCATTATCCTCTTGGCTTCATTCCTCAACGATCCACGCTCATTCTCAGTCTGAAGCTTTTACTTTTGCTATTCCATCTGGCTGAAATGCTTTTCCCTCTGTCTTCAATAATGACTTTTCCTAATCACTCTGGAGCCAGCATAAACACAGTAGCTACCTGTCAATATGTCCAGTTTGCCTCCTTCTGGATACAAGTGAGGGATTACAACTTGCTGGCCCTTTGAAGTTAGGGAACACCAGGTGGCTTGCTTTGGCCAATGAAATGTAAAGAGAATGCACCTGTGTGACTCCTGGGCGGAAACAATTTTTTCCCAATGTGAGATGCTATGATGCTTTCTTCTTCTGCCATGGGCATACTGGAAGTCTGTGCTGCTATCGGGGAACAATGCTACACCATCACATAGCGGGCAAGTTACTGTAGAGCCTCCCAGGCCTATAGGAGACTCTGCCTAAATGAAAAATAAAGGTTAATTGACCTTAGCCACCATTGAAATTTTAGGCGTTGTTTGTTATTGCAGTATAAGCTAATGTATCCTGACTGATAAACATCTTTTCTAATTTCCAGTCTTAATGTAGACATCCAACCCTTTGCTAGCAATTACTTTCTATTTCTATTTACTTTTTTCATTGCACGTATCTGAAATTGTGCTGCTTGTATGTTTATTTGTGATCTATCTCTCTCCATGAAAATATAAGCACCATGAGAGCAGGTATCTTACATGTCTTGTTTGATATTAAACACATTTCTGTCACAAGGTAGGCAGTCAGGAAGTGTTGGACAAGTGGAGAATGCAAAGTGTATCTGTACCATCTGGAATCATGTGGCCAACCTGCACCGAAAGAAAGTGTATTTGGAAAGGCATGCATGAGAACACTTGAGTCATGGACCCCCCCTCCCCAAATTAGGAAAACAAGTTTAAAAAACATAAGTTATTTACACAGTATTTCTCAAGCTCAATTTTCTAAGTCTAAAACTTTAAAATATAATAGTATGAAAGAATATAAGGTTTACCCTAAAATCTTATTGAGTATTTATGGGTAAAAATGTTAGATATCAATTTTGTGCTGAGTTTGCAATGCAGATTTCCAATATTATAGTGGTGCTGAGTTTGCAATGCAGATTTCCAATATTATAGTGAATATCAGTGTTTTTTCTTGTCTGTTTAAAAAGTGAGCTTTATTAAATGTTACTACTTTGAATACTATGGCAAAGAAACTATCCTGGTGCCAGGGTCTTATATGATTTTTCTTTAAGATCTGAGAATCAAAACTAAATCTGGTTTGTTTCATATATGTTGGCATTGTTTGCCTCCAATATATTTCTTGAAAAAGAAATTGCATATAAAAACACAAAAGTAGAAGAGCTGAGAAGTTCAGTTGAGTAAGTATCGATTATAAATAATTTCAAAAGTAACTGAATAAACCTGTATACACAGGAGAAAATTTATTACAAGAAGAAGTGTTAAATTTTCTGTATGACAAAGAAAAGAAAATTATTTTGAAATATTTTTTTCAAATGGTATTGAACTTATAACCTTTCTGAAACTACAGTGGCACTTTGAAATCCATGGAGTCTGTTAAGATCAGTGCAGCTTCTAATGCAGCACAATTGCTTTCCAAAAGAAAGCTATATCTTCAACTAAAAGAGTAAGTTTGGGTTGAAGATCTTCAAGATGACCTGTCCATCTTAGAAAGGTGTGCTGGAGTGTTAGCTTTGGATTTATCTAACTTCACAAGCTGAACTCCTTTTAGAGTTAGGTAATAACCATATATTTGGAGCCTTACAACCTAAGGTGCTACCTGATGTCACCTGTATCAGGAAATTTTGAGATGATTAAAACCTTACAAAACTGATGAAATTAAATCATTTGCATCATTGCCCAGAAAAAACTCAATATTATCAAGATGATTCTCTTGACAGGAAATCTTAGAATGGAAACTGAGGGTCAAGAAGAAAGTTATTCTGTTTTTCATAATTGCAACATCTCTAAATGAATTACTTTGTTCCAATCCAAACTTTGGGCACCTCTGGCATGTCTTTCCCTCATGTTGTCATCTCATTTGCAAACATGGAGCTGTACTACATAACACTATTGCCAGTACACTGTTGATAGCCAGACCTGGTTATGTTTGTGCCCATAGCAGAAATAAACTATGGGAACTATCTCCACTTTACTTATCTGATCTGCTCTAGTGGTAATTCCAATCTTTCTTTCCATCAAATGTGTAAAACACTGTTGAATGGGTGAAATTATCCTCAGGCACTATGAGATATCTATAGGCATGGGGAAGGTACATATGCACTTTGGGTAGAAATGGATTCAGGGTTTGACTCAAAGCCAGAGGTCAAACTATTATTATTCTTTTTTTAGCTAGGATTCTTTATGTGAAGGTGCTATTTTCCTTTAAGATGATCTTTGCAGCAAATGGTAGAGCAGAGAAATCCTGCCCAAGGGAACGTAGACTATGAGAGGTTCACAAGGAGTATATATCCATGTATATGTGTAATTATACAGGCTGTGCAGAGCGTAGGCAGATTGTTTCATGAGAATATTGCCTTGTTTGTGAAGGCAGGAATGGATGTTCCTGGTGGTAACCTGACAACCAAAGAGATAAAGTAGGAGCACAGGCTAGTTATGGTGGCAGAGAGTGTTGTATTCTTAGACACATCTGGAAGTTTCCCAGGCTTTGTCATCTTATTTGGAGGTGCTCCAAAGCTACTAGTGAAGGGGTAGACTTGGGTGGACATGTTCATAACAGATGACCTAGCTCCAATGGCTAATGTTATTAGGACCAACAAGGACCCATTGATCCAAGCTGAGCCTATCACATTCTCATTTCCAAATTTGAACTAAGATACACAGAAACTAAAGGCAGTAATTGTTAGATGCTGTCATGTGCTACTCAAATCCATGGGACCTCACCATTGTAGAGCACCATGGCTAGATTTCTCAAAGCTTGAATGTTTTCTCTGGTAACCAAAATCATCTTTGTTCCTGATCATGCCAGGCAACAAACACCAGACAATTGATTTTCCCAAGAAGAGCTCTTGAACAATGACTTATAGAAGCTGGTATATAAATACTCCACCTGCTTTGCCCCTTGGCTTTGATAACTCTGAGACATATGTTTGTACTGATTCCCAGAGTTTCCCAGCAAGATTAAGTTCCAGTTACTCACAATGGTAGCTGGCTTGATAATGTACATTTTATTGGTCATCTTCTCTTCTTTGCCTCACTTCTCCACATCCTCCACATCTTTATCAGTATTGCCTGGGGTTACATCTTAAGTAAAATACTAGCACTAGGGTCCCTGTCTCAGAATTACTTTTCAAGGAAACCTAAATTATGACAGAAGCAAGAATTCAGGTAGACTTGAGGTCAGTGTTAGGTCATAATAACCCAAAGTCACATATGTTTAAGTTAAAATACTGGGAAGAAATAAAATTTTTATAAACCTCTCAGATTAGTTTGCATAGAGGATAATGGAGACATGAACAGAGGGTAGAGATAAGAGATCTTACAATAAAAAGGAGAGAACCAGCCAGTAAGATGACTACCTGACAATCTTCTAGTATTTGGGTTCTGAGAGAGTCTAAATATCTCCTCTTCCTGGGGTAGCATGGGATGTATCTGTTTCTTACTATCAAAATATCCCTGAATGACACAAAGGTCAGGAATCAACTACAGAGGACGTTTGAGAGTCAGGAAAAGCTCTGTAAGGAAATGCTGGTATCCGGCCCCTTAGCTGGATGGAAGAAGTATGCAGAGCACCAATGAAGAGAGTTTAATAGGGAAGGACCAAAAACCAGAAGGAATTGGCACAGTGGGTGAGAAAATTAAGCTATGATCAGAAAAAAGGATGATGTGCTTATTATCCTGTAATACAATAGTGAAAAAGAAAGATAAAAGTGCTTTGAAAAGAAGCACTGATTGGTATTCTCAGAGCCTAAGTAGAAAGTGGACTTACAGATGCCAAGTAGAAATCCTAATGCCACGTGGAATCTTCTCTTGTCCATCTTTCCAATCTCTGCTCTTCAGTTTCTACTAGGGACGGGATTGTGCAGCATTCTGAGTTCTGTCTTGTTGTTTTTGTTTTGTAAACAAATGTCCACACTTTCAGCCTAATGAGAGGAAACAGTCAGCATAGATGGAGGATGAGCTGGAGAAGGGCAGACCATTGGTCAGCCCAGGTGGGGGTGTAGCAATATTGAGTGCTAAATGCAAATTACCAGTTCGATAAAGATTGTGAAGAAATGATTGGAGACTCTAGATTATGACTTTTGAAAAATCATTTACAGGCAAAGAATTAGGGGCAAGCTTGGGCATTCCCTTGAAGCTGAAAAATTACTTGAATTAAATAACCAAAAATTGAAGGAAATTTGGGGAAAAGGAAAGGAAAGGGACAGGAATGAAAGAATAGCAGAGAAAAATGAAAAAAGGAGAGCCTCCTTGGTAAAATTCTCGACTAGATCTTTCCTAAAACCAGCTGCTCATGACAGATTTTTTCCTTGTTAATTCTTTTCCTAGTGCTTTTGCCTCTACTACGCTCCTCCCCTATCCATACCCATCTCATTGCAATTTCAATTTTTTTTTTTTTCGAAATTTGTCCAAGGATAACATGATATAAATTTTCCCTTAGAATACACAAATAAATTTAAACATTCTTCAAAGGGAATTGAATTAAGGGAGTCCTGGTAAATAGCCCTATCGATCTATTACCGGAGGAGGATTGAAAGAAAAGAGAGTGACAAGGTCCACTTTTGGTATCTGATGTCAGTTAGACAATAGCCCAATGTCACAGCCAACATTATTGTGTCTAAACAAAAAAATGAAATAATCCTCTCCTTTTTTAAGTTTTCATTTTGAAATAAGTATATATTTACAGGAAGTTGCAAGGAAATGCACTGAGGGGGCCTGTGTATCCTTTACCCAGCCTCTCCCAACATTAACATCCTGAATAACTATAGTAAATGTCGAAATCAGGAAATTAACATTTCACTAGTTATACATACACTTATTTGTGTGTATATATGTGCATGTTGTGTACATAGTTATATGGAATTTTATTATAATGTGTAGCTTTTATAACCACTGCTATGATCAAGATATAGACACGACCCCTTAATAGCCATCTCCTCCTCCATTCCAAATTCTGTTCTTCATTTTGGTAATTTTGTTATTTCAAGAATGATATAGGAATGGAATCATGCGGTGTGTAACCTTGTGGTGATTAGCTGTTTTCACTCAGCATAATGTCCTGAGGTCCATCCAAGTTGTTGTTTATGTCAGTAGTATGTGTCCCTTTCTTATTGCTGAGTAGTATTTCATAGCATAGTTGGTTGCACCACAATTTGTTTAGCTGTCCACTCATTGAAAGATCTCTGGGTCATTTCCACTTTTTGACAATAGCAAATAAAGTTGCTATAAACTTTCATGTATAAGTTTTGCACAAACATAATTTTTAATTTTCCTGGGATAAATTATCTAAGAGTATAATTGCTGGGTTGTATGGTTCTGCCATGCGGCTGTTGGCCAATTCCTGGTTTTCCTCCAACTCTGCATTCAGCATCTCAAACTTTTTTTTTTTTTTTCTGGCTACAGGTTTATTCAACACAAAATAACACACACCCCCCTCCAATTTTACTGAGGTGGCTGACCACGTCCACGACCAAAGAGTATAATTGCTGGGTTGTATGGTTAAGACCATTTTTAGTTTTATATGAAACTGTCATTCCCTTGGGAATATATTCCCTACATTCCCTTGGGAATATATTCCCTACATTTAATATTCTCACTACTTTTACTTTAGCCATTTTGATATTTTACCACTTTTACTTTGGCCATTTTGATAGGTCTCAATGCAGTTTTAGTTTGAATTTACCTCATGGCTAATGATGTTGAACATTATTTTCTTTTGCATATTTGCTATATTTATATCATTTTAGGTAAAATATCAGTTCATGTATTTTGCTCATTTTTAATTGGATTATTTTAAAATACTTTTGAAAAGAGTTCTTATTTATGATTTCATCATTATTTTTATCCATTTCCTTCCTCTATTCTAAGTTCAACCACCCTGTAAAATAAGGAAGTATATCTGTTCCCACTTTACAGATAAAGAGATTGAGACCAAATAAACCTTTTTTTTGCATATAAAAATTGTGATGTAATCAAGGTTTAAAATGGGGCCTGTTCTTGCATATTGAGTTATTCTAATACTAGTGTTTCACTAAGAAAGGAGTGTCCAGAGTTAACTGGATGTGCTAGATTAAAAAGTAAATGATTAGAATAACAGTAAAGTTGATGAAAACCAGCAATACATTATGGGATAGCCGTTGTAAAAATTTATAGATATACATGAAAAAATACATTCTGAAAAATTTCCTTTTAACAAAGATATATAATCTAGTTTCATTTATAGTGATTGCTACTGTATTTGGATTAAACTTTTTACCAATTAATACTGGGTTTTCTCTTTACTTAGAATGTTCTTTTTCCTTTTAAAAATTCTATCAGGATAACTGAGCTTTCTGCATTTTTCTTCTTTTAGTTTGAATGTTATAAAGTATTTTTTAAAATTTTGCTGTTGTTACTCTTATATTTTAAGTAGGCTTTACTTGTGTGACAAAATCTAGAGCTGACCAATACTGCAACCCTCCTCCAAATCAACCAACATAAGGGACTAAAAATAAAGCTAATCAATTCACTCCCATCTTCCATGCTTTTGTTGTTTAGTTTCTCCCTGAATTCAAGTGCATTTAAATTAGTAAGTAAACAATTATTATTGTATACATTTCTGTGTGATTACCACTTTGAAAACTGAAAATTAGTTCATTTTCCTTTCTTATTTTTAGAGTTTCCATTTAGTGCTTTAAAAGTATGAATTCTTTATTCATAGACTCTCTTTTTCCAATATATGTTCTATTTATACTTTTAGCTCTTTAAACATTTAAAATATGTTTATTTTGTAGACTTTTAGATTATTTTATAATTTCTCTTTCTTAGAATGCTGATTTTCCTATTTGTTACTTTCAGTGATTCTCTCTAATGATGTAGAATTTCCTTTTATAGTTCGTAATTTTCAATAGCAAGCTCGTATTTGAGAAGGACCAGGGCTATGGATGCATCCCTATATCAGCTGGGGTCCCAGCAGTTTGCCCTTTTAAAGGTTTTGATATACAAGATGCTCCAGAGCTTTTATCCGAATTTAACTTCAGCCTTCTTCTTTCCCCCCTCCCTCCCTCCTCCTCCCTCTCTTCCGTTTTCTTTTTTCCTCTTCCTGCTCCTCTTTTTCATCATCTTTCTTCATCTTTGTTTCATCTTCTTCATTAGAAGAAATTTTAACAGGAAGATCAAATCTAATTATTTAATTTCATTAGGTTTATCTAAAGGGAAGAAATGAGCTTTATTTTGCTGACATGACAAAATTAGTATATTTTAACTATCCTTTAAAATACTGGTCCCATATTCAACATATATAAAACAAATCTACTGATATCTTTGGATCTTTCTGTATTTTTCTTTGTCTTTGTCTTCACTTTTGTTTCTCCTGATTTATTTCCCATTGACAATGCAGTATGGGTGCTTTTGAGTACAAATATCTGGGGGAACTTGGAGGCTATATGTTCTCAGTGGCACATATATATATATATATACTTGGACTGTACTATTTCAATAGATCTCTGGAGGTTAGTGGTTTGGGAGGCCACACACACATTTTTGGACATTCACTGGACAATCCTGCCTGTATACAAGATATACAGAAGCATTTTAGAGACCCCACATTACTAAAATCCTAGACAAAAATAGCTCAAGGAGATGGCAGTGAGGAACAGGAGGTTTTTGAAGTACAACTGACCTGTGGGCATGTTTGCAAAATGGTCTGCTATCTCCCTGAGCTTCTCCTCAAACAAGCAATTGGTTCCCCACAATGAATGGGATAAACATGTTCACATTGGAAATGTTTGCAGGTGAAACAAATAGTCCTTGGAGGGGAATAGACAAACTTGGAGACTGTTTGCTGAAATGTTTGGGTAGCATTTGCCATTGTAGGCAAATTCAAAGTCTGACCTGTGCTATTCATTCTTGTGAGGAAATTAGGGCGGGGCAGAGGGTTTCATGCTAAGTCAAAGAAACAAAAAAAGAGGTAAGTAATCTATTGGGTGCTACACACATGGAACGAATTTCTTCAAAATCAATCATTTAATTCTGGGTGAGTTTTGCTTTTTTTTTTTTTTTTAATAAATGCAGGAGTTCTGTGTCTGTGTGAAACCTACTGACATTTTCTGTAATTATGTAGTGAGATTCAGTTCTTA